TTTTAAATAATGGTGTTGAGGTCTTTAGTGATGATGGTAGAGCAGATATCAGATACCGAACCTGGCAATTTTGCACACAAAAGTCTATTCTCGATTATTCTCACAATATGGATCTGTTAACTGAGAGATTTTAAACTGAAGATGACAGTTACTCAACCTGAGCTTTGGAAAATGTTTGCTCATATGCAGTACATAATGTTCAGTTCTTGGCTTTACCAACTGGCGAAAAAAATGTACTAGACATGAATAAATGGATTAATTGCTCCAAAATCACCAATAAATTCAAATTCATTTTAATAATAAGCATGGCTTGAAGCTAAAAATTGGTACTGTTTTCTGTTTTCAAAAGTAATATGTAAAACCATAAAATCATACTGCTTTACATGTTTGCAACATCTATTCTAATTATTATGTCTACTGCTGACTAATTTAAGACATCTCTTAGTTTATTTATTAACTTTTACACAAGACAGATAAATTGCAGTTATTGAAAGATTTGGTTTGGCAATAGGTTAATTCTAATAGCAAAATAGATTAACCTAAAAAAAAATGAACAAAAATAAAAAAATAAAAAATAACACAAAAAACAAAATGAACACAGATTGACATAATTTCTGCATATGAAACCTGGGTTTAAATAAAGAAGTGATGTTTGAAATTGGGGGAAGAGAAAAGTTCAAATCTTTTAGTTCAAGCTTTAACATTAGTCAGTATTTGAAACTGACTTCTTTTAACAGCAAGATTATTTATTTGCTAGCTTGAACATAAACTTCATTGGCACTATAATGCTTGATTATGTCATTAAGAGGTTCAGTTTCATTTTTAGGACAATAATAAATAGATCATTGTACCAAGGCAGCTGTTAAAGGGACCCCAAGATGAGTTATTTGTTTAGTTGGATGTGTTCAACAATAGCTTTTGTTTAAGAAAGAATTAGACAAAACAAATGATCTTAAAAGGGCACACTTGAAAACAATTACTTTTCATTCATTCCACAAGAGCCTCAGTTGTGAAACCATCTAAGGTAGAGAAAAACCACCATGCTTGACAGTTTGCAAGCAAACTTTTAAACCACACACAAAATATTAGAGTGTATTATTTGCTGATGAAATTAGTAAATTAAATCAAAGAATAAAATGTCAATGATACCATTACAAAAGAGAAGATTGTCATTTTATCTCTGTTTCAACTTTGTGATTCTGAAGAGACTGGCTATGTTTCTCTTAGCAATCATTAATTTTGATCATAAAATTACCAAAAGGCTGACAAATGTAATCTTAATCCTGGAGGTTCTTTGTAATTAAAGTAACTGCTGAACACATTGCCTTACTTTAACTCTGCTGAAACACTTCTTCCGTAGAATATTTATTTGCTTGTTTATTTGTATCCCAACTTTATTATTTTTGCAAATAACTCAAGGTGACAAACATATCCAACACCCTTCCTCCTTTTTTCCCCACAACAACCCTGTGAGGTGGGTTGGCCCCAAGTCACCCAGCTGACTTTCACTGGTAAAGAAGCACTAGAACTCATCATCTTCCGCTTCCTATCCTAGTACCTTCACCACTACACCAAACATATATATACTGTGTTATTTCAAAACATATTAATGTAGTTTTTTTTAATTTCTTCCAGATTACCTTGTTCAGGATTTGCTGTCTTTAAACGTATTGGGTGCATTTTGAATGAAAAGTCCTGCCTCATATGTCTAATGCACAAGAAATGACTTAAAATTGATTGCAAACTTGATTGCAGGAAATACGACTTCAGCAATAGAGTGGTCAATGTCTGGAATACTCTACCCGACTCTGTAGTCTCTTCCCCAAACCCCAAAAACTTTAACCTTAGACTGTCTACTATTGACCTCACCCCTTTCCTAAGAGGTCTGTAGGGGGCGTGCATAAGCGCACCATCGTGCCTACCGTCCCTGTCCTATTGTTTCTCTTATTCTTTTATTTTTCTTATATGTACCCATTTCATGTATTTACAACTATGTATACACTTATACTTATTATCTTGTAAACAATTGGCAAATCAAATAAATAAATAAATAAAAAAAATAAAAATAAAAAAAAATCCAAACAAATCCCACATGCATCTATTAGAAAACTATCTGGGAGCAAGTTCTATCGAACTCCAAATGCATAATCCTATGCATTCCTAACTAATCTTAAACCCTATTGCAGTCAGAGTGAATTAGATATGTATGAACAGGATTGCATTGTATGTGTGCTTACTGTCACTGATATGTAAAGTATGTACTTTTGTTTTTCTATTTGTAAAAATAAGCAGTTTTTTTTTAAAAAAATACAATTGCAATTATTTAGTGCATTCTCTCTCTCCTCTATGATAAAGCTTATGTCTTCCAATTAAGTACATTGTTAAAATGTCACAAATGTGAAAAATGCTGAATACAAAAAAGACTTTGAAATCAAGTTTCATAACTGTCACAAATTAATAACTCCTAGAAACTCAAGAATTGTTTAAAATCAGTCTCATTCTTAATTCATCACATAAATACAACTTATTATTACAAAATTCTCCACTGAGTTCATATGCTATGCTACTGCTGCAGTGGCTATAACTGTCGGTGATGCTAACTGGACAGATTAAGGACATTTTCCTTCCCAACCTGGCTTGGGCATTTGTGGGTTTCAGTTAGAACCTTTCGAAAATTATCTGAATGCAGTTAGTGTGCAGTTAATGTGATTACCATACAGGAGCTTGCTGACACTACCTCTGGCCAAACATGAGGAGAAAATATCCATCTGAGCTCCCGTTGCATCTGGTAAGAATAGAGTTTGATTCGTTGAAACCCTGCAGCAAAGGCAGCTCTCACCCATCTGGGAGCGGAGGCAATAGGACAAATGCTCCCTCAAAAGGCATGAACATTTGGACAGAGCTGGGGACTGAAGGAGAATGATGTTCTCCAGTTTCACCCATTAGTGAACCAACCAACAAACACAATGGTGTTGTTGTTATTCTTTTGCCATAAGCAACAGGACTCTGTGTGTGGGCAGCAGTTTAGTGGGGAGGAGGATAAGTCGACCCCTTTTTGTCCTATTGATTTTTTTCCCTATTTGCATGACTTGAGCAAATTAAATGATGCAATATGGCTTTTTGTTACAAAACAAAGTGAAAGATACCACCCAGACACATATGTTGATTCGTAGAAGCTGTTTACATGAGAATGGGGTGAAATCTACCGTGAACTGAGCATAAAAATTCGATTCAGCCTGGGTATTTTTTTTTAATTGTGCCTGGGCCAGAAAGACTGAAGCACAAGTTTTCCAAGCCACTCTCAGACCTTGACAACTGGAGTGTTGTAACAGAGGAATTCTTAATTAAACTAAATGCTTGGAGGGGGGGGAAGGGGGGCGATGAGAAAGACACCTGATTGTTTGTTTCACGTGCAGTGATTCTCAATGACATTTATTCATCCCATTTCCCTCCCTAGCTTCAGTTTTGCACGTTGCACTCCTGATCAAAACAATAGGCTGAAAAACTTATAACATCCACATGGCTGAAAGGCAGTGAATTGCAGCCCCATCAACAGACAGACAACTTTCCTACTCTAAAACAGCTACATTGTCATTTCTCACCGTGTTTCCAATAAAAGTTACATATTAATGCTCTTTTCTCAAGTCAGTAAAATGGTTATAGATAGAGGGTTCTGAAGTATAAGAGATAATGTACTATGCATTCTCTCTTGATGAAACTAACGCACATATAATGTTATCTGATACCAAGTTGCTATGGAATTCACTCGTCCTGTCCTCTTCAGCTTCTCTCCAGAGAAGCCTGAGTTAATTGCTGTAAGACCTGAAGACATAAAAGTTTTGCAGTACCCTGGCATCATCTGCTCTCCCAGTCACCATCTGCTATCTGAAGTTCCGTGGACAAACTGTGCACACTTTTCTAGTTTTGGGGAAAAAATAACTATCACCACCACCTTAATTTACAATTCATCACTATCATGGCATGCCAAATGAGTCCAAGAAAATCCACTAATCTTTCTTGGCAGATTCCTCCATCTGCATCATCTCTTTTTCAGCTATAGTCCAGATTCTACCCGTTTCTACTTTATTCATGAACTCATTTTTGTATTTGTTCTTTTTTGATAACTGAAATTCTCAGAAGGATGTTTCTATTCCTTTCCTTTGCTGATTCCTTATCTCAAAATTTGTCTTTTAAAATAAATACATAAACCCTACTCTCTTCATAATATATTGCTTTCCTCCTTCTCTTCCATGGATGTTTCAAATCCCCTGAGCACCTGGCTAGTAATGGCAGAGGTGAAATAGACTGTTTCCTGTATGCAGGGTTTATTCTGTTGCCTAATTATTCTTCAGCATTTACAATGCACCCTCCTCCTAATTTTAAAGGTCAGTAATAACTATTACTACTACTACTCATAACCCACTTGAAATAGTTTATCCAGATAGAACAATGATACAGGATGCTGCAGTTAGATTCAACACAAAGAAACATTTAAAAGTAACCCATTTGGGTAAGAAACACCCCCAAATGGATTACACCAATGCCAAAAGTGCAACATCTAGAAGGAACAGCACACTGCTTCAATATGCTCAATGAAATCCATTGTTCAGTCAGCTTTTCCTCTATATAGAGCCTTTCACAGGTAATAGATAACAGCTCTAACAATTCTCAGTCAGCACGACAAGGGTATTTAGAAATAGTGCCATGGTAATCCAAGGGAGGACCACAAGGAACACTTGTAACCCACAACTTCCTACAGCCAATGAAGTGGCCTTCGAACCCAGCAAAACTCAGAACCTAGCAAAGATGATTTATTACCTAACCCCCTGAAACACCTCTCCAAGAACCGTTAAGTGGTATTTGTGAGTTCCATCTCTTGTTGGTTGACCTTCCTCTCCCAAATCACTGCAACCCTAGATCCAAAAGGCTCGTTTCCGATCAAACTCTCGCATGCCCCTTCGGTCTCTCGCCCAACCTCCCCCAACCCAACTGGAGCCTACCTTGTTGCTCTCTATCTGGAGCAATCCTTGCCTCTCAGCCCTGGAGCAGCAAGACAGGCGAGGGTAGAATCCCTGGCACAGCAGCTCCCCTCTGTTGAGGGGCTCCAGGAGCATCAGCCTCCTATCTCGCTTTTTGAGGCGCCTGGGGGGGCTGCCATTCAAGCACCTTCTCCTCTTGGCAGTGGTCTCTCCAAACTTGGTTTCCCCTTCCAAGAAGCAGAGGACCAGGGCCACCAAGAGCAACTTCAAGGGAAGCATCTTTAGCCCCACCATGCCGCTTGGGAACAACACTTCAAGCGCCGGCTGAGGTGACCAATCCCCAAGGCAATCCAAGGATGCAAGGCTTCCCTTTGGAAACCTCGGGAGTTTGTGTTTTTATATATACGGGAGGTCCGCTTTCCAAGAGGCGCGACAGCCGAGGGACGGGCAGCAGCGAACAAAACCCGGCGGGCCACCAGACAGGCAGGCGCACGCCCCAGCTGAGCCAAGGGAAGAAGATGCTGAGCTCCGGCGCGGGGCGTTTGCGCCCACTTGACAAGAGCGGCCGCAGGTTTAACAGGCGCTGCCGAGGCGCTGCCCAAGCGCGGAGCGTAAACTTCCCCGGGCTGAAGAAGGTTCTCCGCGCCGGCGTCCGAAGCGAAGGAGGCGACGGTCGAGAGGGCAGCCGCAACTCGTCCCTTTGCGAGGTCCCATATAAACCAAGGCTGCCGTTCTGAGGGGGACAGCCTGCCGGGCGCGATGCCTCCTCTCTGCTGCTGCCGGCCGGAGCTGGAGCTCACTAGGGCTCTCATGTTTCGCTCCCTCTTTTCTTCTTCTTTTTAAGCAGCGCGCGGGGAGGTGCTGCCACCGCGCGCCCCTACACGTCACCGAGGAAGGGATTCGCGGGGATGAGACGGAGAGGAGCGTTCGAGCACGCGCGACGGCGCGAGAGGGCGCGAAGAAGGCGAAGGCGCGGCCTGGAGTCGCCGCCGCCGCCGCCGCCGCGGCAAAAGACAGCGCGTGCGCGAGCGAGCCCGCCGAGCTGAAGGGCGCCAAAGGGGGGGGGGGGGGGGGGGGTAGTTGTGCGTCTGTGGGTGTGTGGCTGTGTTCAAATTTATGTCTTACCGGGGTGCAGGTAGTCTTCGACTTAAAAAAAAAAGTTCGTCTAGTGACCGTTCAAAGTTACAACATTTGTGGGGTCCTTGGTGCCCCCTGAGTTTCCTTGTTTTCTTGCAGGCTTTTCGTTACCCAAACTAGGTAATCTCATCAGCGCTGATGAGGTTACCTAGTATGAGTAATGAAACGTCTGCAAGAAAGCTCAGGGGGCAAGGACCCTCATTTCATCCCTGAGCAACAAAGATTTTCCTTTATTAGTTATGTCCAATTTTGACAACTACGATCTTTACAGCATCCCCATGATCGTGTGATTAAAATTCAGATGCTTGGCACTGGTTCATATTTATGACCTTTGCTGTGTTCCAAGGTCATGTGATCACCTTTTGCAGCCTTCTCACAAGTAAAGTCAATGGAAAAGCTAGATTCACTTAACAACTGGGGTACTAATCAACTGCACTTAACAACTGTGGCAACTGTAAAATAGGGCAAAACTCACTTAACAACAAATTTTGTGCTCAGTTGCGGTCATACGTCAAGGACTACCTGTACTACAGTGCACTGTGCACTATATTTAGAGTCTTGGATTTACAGCACAAGTGGAAAGATTGATCACTATTTTTTCTGTGGGATCAAGGTTTAATATTTTGTTTAAAAAGTGAGATTCTTTAAAATACACATATATGTTATTTGCTCCCTTTTCTCTCTGTTTTTTTTTACATATTTTTTGTTTTCCTGTATGAGGCAAAATGAAAACTAGTATTCTGAAATATTGGAATTTTAAAAAAAACAGTACTTTGGAGCCACTACTAAAAAAGTCACGTCTTTGGTTACTTCTCAGTTATATCAGCTGTTCCCAGCCTGAACTGGGAAATCTGGGAATTACTCCAAAAATGTGAAGGGTGCTGTCTTAGATGTTTGGAGAACTGTGAGAAAAGCTTCCAAACATGACAAAACACTTTCTTAAAGTAGCGGTCGCCAACTGGTGGGCCATGGCCCACTGGTGGGCCGCAAGAAAATTTTGGTGGTCTGCAGAGAAATGCCACCCCAAAGCACGCCCCCCAAAGCAATCCAGGCTGTGGGGAACATAAGGCTGCGCCGCCCACATGGCCCGCAGGAACACAAGGCTTGAGTTACTTGACAACATGAAGTAGTGAGGGGAGGGGAGAAAGAGCAGAGGGGGGAACTTGCCTGGCCACCAGGCTGCTTCTTTCCACTTCTTCTTCTGCTTTTGGCTGCATGCAAGGAAAGTAGCCAAAGTCTGTCTTTCTCTCCCCCAAACTCCACCAGAAATGAGTCTTTGGGACCTTGCAAGGCATCCTTGCTCCAAGAGGCTGTGCTGGCAAAGACTCATTTCTGGCGGAGTTTGGGTGGAGAGAAAAAAAGACTTCTGCTGCTTTCCTTGCGCGCAGCCTGAGAACGGAGCTCAAAAGCAGGCTAGGAATGGGGCTGCTTTGGAGGCGGTGCGGGTGTGTGAAGGAGAGAGAAAGAGATAGAAAATTACCAGCCCTTGAGGTTAAATCTGATCTCTCTCTCTCTCCTTCTCCCTCCCACCAATGTCAGCAAGCCACATCAGTCAAAATTCACATTAGTGGCCCCGGGATTTAAAATAATGAGTTTGGTGGTCCCTGAGGTCCAAAAGGTTGGCGACCCCCTGCCTTAGAGGACTAAGACTAAAGAGATGGAGGTCTGGTTCCTGCACAGCTATGAACAGCGATCATCTCTGCCTAATCTACTGTTTTAAAGCAAAAAATGGGGGCAGAGGAAGTATGACATACTATGTGCACTACATTGAATTTCTTGGAAAAAGCCTCAATAAAAATATAAGTCATATGTTAATCCCCATTAAAGATGACATGTGGCATATTCTTCTTAAGAAAATGCATTTTAGTTATATGCAAAACAGTCCTTGACATTATTTTTGTCTGACTTAGAGTTGTGGGTTTTTTTTATAGGCTCAGGGATTGACTTGACACTTTAGAGACAAATATATCTAATTTCAAGCATATTCTGATTTCTTAATCTAGTTGTAGTGGAGACAGAGGAGGAGAAAAGTTGTATCATGAAGTGTTAAGGTTGATCAAGTTTTGCCAAGTTACTCATCCTTTGGCATTCAAATTAATTATATTTAACTTATTATGTGGAATAATACAATCAAGGCATTATTACATTCATTTCAGTTAAAACATTTGGAGAAAACATGCTTTAATATAGTCTACAAACTCAGGTATTGGAAAAGGAAAAAAATATATAGAAAAACAAAAACAAATCCATACATACTTAAGTACCGTAATTCCATGGAATTTTGCCTCAATTACCTATTCTCCCTGCAGGCATAATGAACAGACTGGAGTTCCTGCCACTCATAGAAGTACTTGGTTAAATCATTATAGTATTTGTGCCATTGAAATGAAAATACTGTAATTGCATCAGAGTTTATTATCTAAATCAAGCTTAATTCATACACTTGGATGTACACTCAAATAAGGTTTTTTTTAAAATGAGCTTAAATGGAAATATTTAATCTTTTTATTTTGGGTCAAAGACCAAAATCAGATATAGACAAACAGACCATGGTTGCTACAAACCTCTTTAGTACTGGTTTCCAATACAGGAAATCAAAAAAGCTAATCTTTTTCTATTCTTCATGATATGCTACACAGTAGAACTAACAACTCTTGTAGTCATCACTTGCATAAGTCCCACCTCAGCCATATATGTGTGCATGTGTGTATGTATATATACATAATTTAAATCACAGTCTGGTTTTTGATAGCCACCCAGAGATACCGTGCCTCTGTCAGGCAAGATGAACATTGATAATTGGCCACAGAGTGATGTTTGATGTTAGCATTTCTGTAGAAGATAATGAGTCAAAGAGAAAAAATGAAATAACATTTTAAAGAAGAAATGAAGCCGCTGGAATCCAACGTCAGTGTGGGATATTATAAAAATAAATTTTATTGCTCACTTAAAGATGGACACGTACAAGAAAAATAAAGCCCACTAAAACATGGCAGAAATAATGATGGGACAGGATATTAGGCAGAAATAATGCTTCTACAATATGTTGAAAGGTTAAAAGTTGGGCAAATTTAAAAAAAACCCAAATGTCTGGTTTCTATTTTTCAGCATGAAAATGATGAATCACTGTTAATAAAATCACCAGAATCAAATTATTGCAGGATGAAAACAGGAAATAGCACTGGACAGGCAGTGATTTTTTTGTTACATGTGATGAAAAGGTTATCAAAGAAAATTATTGTGAAAATTGTACTAATCCGTTCAGTTTCCAGTGCTCCATGTGTGCTGACCAGCTGATCTTCGGTTTCCAGTGCACATGTTCTGGTTTGGGCACTCTGTGCTGAAAACAGACCTGCCAACATCTAGAAACAAATAACGTAAAAACTAGCAGTCAGCACGGGTTTGTTAAAAACAGATCATGCCAAACCAATCTTATTTCATTCTTCAACACAGTGACTAAATTAGTAGACCAGCAAAATACTGTGGACATAATATATTTAGATTTCAGCAAGGCATTCGATAAAGTAAACCACAACCTACTTCTTAGTAAGCTAGAAAAAAGTGGAATAGATAGCACCACCGCTAAATGGACTTGCAACTGTCTGGCAAACCGTACTCAACGAGTAGTCCTTAATGGGTCTAAGTCTACATGGAGGGAAGTAAGCAGTGGGGTGCCACAAGGTTCCGTCTTGAAGTTCCATCCCAGTACTCTTCAATATCTTCATTAACAACTTAGATAAACTTACCAAATTTGCAGATGATGCTAAGCTGGCAGGAATAGCTAACACCCAAGAAGTTAGGCTCAAGATCCAGATGGATCTTGACAGACTAGAACACTGAGCCATATCTAACAAAATGAAATTCAATGTAGAGAAAAGTAAAGTCCTACACTTAGGCAAGAAAAACCAAAAGTACACATATAGACTGGGTGAAACCAGGCTCAATAGCAGTAGCTGTGAGAGGGATCTTGGAGTCTTAGTGGACAACTAGCTAAATATGAGCCAGCAGTGTGCAGCAGCCGTCAAAAAAGCTAATGCAATCCTAAATTGTATTAACAGAGGGATACAGTCAAGATCAAGGGAAGTACTAATACCACTCTATAAAGCCTCAGTAAGACCACACCTAGAGTGCTGCATCCAGTTTTGTTTACCACATTA